ACTAGTATATGTTAGATCTACAATATGGTTTCGTAGGCAGATGTTTTAGTAATATAATTGATTGTGACAATGACTTATATGTGTCAGATTGCAAGGAGATATGCTGAGTTCTCTGCTGCTTTAGTCAGTCTTAATGAAGTATTCCCAGATGAACGGGTCAACAAATTACTTGCACAGTTACAAGCCGAGGTGGAAAATTTCATCCTCCGTATGGCAGCTGAGTTTCCAAACCGAAAAGAACAGCTGATATTCTTGATAAATAACTATGATCTGTTACTCAGTGTTATGATGGTGAGTGTGCGACTTATGAATTCCCAGTATTCTGTGATTGTGTCCATCCCTTAATCACTTATATTACAAAAAAACAAACATTTTTTCATTATAAAATTACCAAAGAAATTATAAAATTATAAAAAGGAATTATTAAAATTATACAAAATGTTTGTGTTCATAGGATTTTATGACTTTTTAATAATTATTATTATTATTATACATCTGTCATCGTAACGCCATAAGTTACAGCGTGCCATAATTTTGCGATATTTTACGGGGTATTTTCATCCTACCATATTAGGAAATACAAATTCCATGCCTGTCACCAGAGATTGACCGGACTCTACACAAAGAAGTTTGCTGATTTTGTTCTAAACTTTTTGGATTTCGGCATTCCCATGATATGTATCCTTGGAAGGAAAAAATGTATAATAATAAGATCATTACGAGGATACCTCAAAGTATGCACTCAAACAGTACGTCGTTGCATTGATCTCCGCTGTGTGTCGGTTGATACTCTCGCTGTACTGTTTTTGTGTATACTTTGAGATATCTCCGTATGAACCTCATATTATGTAAATGGCATTACCAGTATTTGTTAATAATCTAATAATAAGTTAAATGTTTTATAATTGTAAAAAGTCAAATATAATAGAAATTGTCACCTTGTCTTAATCTTTATACAGGAACGTACAAAGGATGACTCCAAAGAGTCAGAGTGTTTTCAACAACTATTGAATGCCAGAACTCAAGAGTTTGTTGAAGAAATCTTAGCACCATACTTTGGTGGATTGATTACATTTGTGAAAGAGTCAGAAGGTGCCTTGGAACGAGGACAGATTGATCAATTAAAACGTGAAGAACGTATGTATTTGCATACATGTACCATATATGAACCACATACATGTACATGTGTTTACTATTACATCATAGACATATTGACACATAGTGTAAACTATTTCATACTCACTACTAGGAATTTATGTAACTTTATGGCTTTTAAATTGTGAAGATAAAATTTCGTGAAAGTCTTTGACATTCAGGGTCTAGATTACATAGATTGCATGACACAGTCAGCAAATAAATTTCACCGGAGATCGCAAAAAACTGTGTCTTACAAAGTATTTCTTTAAAGGTTTGAGGAAAGGTAAATTTAGACTTAACACACCCAATGGCGATCGCTATGTTTATATAACTGTTTGAATATCTCATCAGTTTTATGTAATCCATTGTGCCCCTCCCTGAGTGGAAATGATAACACAACGCCATGACAAATGTCTGTGTATGATGGATTTTGCCATTTTTGTGGACGATTAACATCACTTTCATAAAACGGGCATTATCTTCGTTCGTGTTTTCTGGTTGGTTTCATGGCTGGCGGCTTGACAGCTAATCACTGAGTAGATTGAATCAAAGTTTATCCTCTGTATTTGAATTTATTTGCTGACTGTGTCATGCAATCGATGTTGATGGCATCAGACAAGAGATATGACTAACATATCACATGACCATATATGCCCATATTATATCTAATATCAGATTACATTGTTAAGTATAACCAATGATATATTGACAAAAGGCATGGCTAACCAATCAGATGATTATATACCAGATTTATCAATACCTATTCATCAGATTTCAATGAAACTTGAACCATGATAATTTCAGTGACAACCATACTATATGTAGGATTTTGGCTATTAAAATGTGCACACATATCTATGGTTCATCGAACTCAATTGAGATCTGAAAAATAGATTTATTGTTATATTCTTTTCATCTCATTAGGACGTGTTCAGCAACTAGTTAGGGGATTTGCTGCTGATTGGAAACATGCTATAGAGATTATAAACCAAGATATCATGCGTTCATTCACTAATTTTAAAAATGGTACAAATATATTACAGGTGAGTACTGATAACTGTTTAATATACCCTCAGTATCTCAGAATTCATATTTGAACAACTTGCTTCATATCACATGTTATATTCAAACTAGGCATGCTTATTATTTCACTGGGTTTCTGAACCTTGCCATATTAGGAGTTCCAATTCCCAAATAAGGAGTGTGCGTAGTTCCAGTCTTTGTTTACAGCATCATAGTCGTACAGCCAACACATAGTTATTAAAGTTTCAGCTGAGCACCCACAACAAATTCTGTAAATTAGACTATTTCTCTAATTGATATTTTTAGCTCTGTTGTCGACTTTGCCGAGCAAAGCTTATCATACGAGTGATTGTCATTTGTCAAATGTCGTCCGTGTCAACTTTTTACTTTTTTGACTTTTTCTTGAAAACTACGAATCTTATTGCTTTCATACTTGGTGTATATGTACCTTGGGCAGACCTCTCGTTGATTTGTTCTTTTCGTGATGATATCCTTAATTTTGATGAATATTTTAAGTCATTTTTGCTAAAAAGTGATATTTTCGACTTTGCTAGGTATCTAGGTAGATCTTTCTCAGATTTGTTCATTTTCTAATGATATCTTTAGTTCTTTAATTGAAATGTGCATTCCTAACAGCTAAGTAATCTCAGCCGAGAGGCTGCTTATTAGAATACAGACCCGATGTCTTTGCAGTCGTGTATGATTTGTAACCAATCAGAGCTTGTGTTACAGGCCACTGTTTAGTAAGGTGCTATCTAATTGGTTGAAGAATTCCATCTAAAAGAAGCTGCCTGATTAATCATTTGGCTTGAGATAGTTAGCAGTGATGTATTTTAAAAGCAACCATAGCTTCTACCTACATCTGCTTATTAGTATAGTTGTGAAATGACATACTGATATCTTTGTGTATTGTTTGCTATGTTCTTGTAGTAACCCCAAATACAGGTCTTGACATAACAGAGGGATGAATTGTTTGAGTTATGGATATAGAGTTTAAAAAATATTCACAAAAATCACAAAAATTACCACGGCCATATTTTAAAAACCATGCCTATTTTTGGGAATAACTATTAACTGATAATTAAAGTTTGAGTTACTAAACATGGACGTTCAACAAAAACAAAAATGTAAATTGCCTGTAACACAAAAGTTCTGTTAACTGTTAATTGAACATCTGTTACAATTTAGGTGTGGCTTCTCAGAAGTGGGCGTGGTTTCTAAAATATGGGTGTGGTCATTTTTATAACTGTGTGTGTTAGTAACTTGATGTTTGTAACTGAGCATCTCCACATAACAAGTCCTTCAGCTTTACACATGTGATGTGTATGTGCACTCTTGAGTTAAGCAACAATATTCAAAATTACTTATGTTTTGTATTGCAGGGAGCATTAACGCAGCTTATCCAGTATTATCATCAGTTTCAGAAAGTGCTTTCACAGAATCCATTTAAGAACATGCCGATCCGTAGTGAACTTATCAATATACATCATGTCATGGTGGAAGTTAAAAAACACAAACCAACTTTTTAATTTTTACAAACATTGTTACAGAGATAGACTGTAGCTGTACTAAATGTTTACTTGGTACAACCCAATAAGGATTGGGAAATATATAGATATTACCAATTATAAATACAGCTAGCCGATGCCATGGTAACACTAGATGAAGGTTAAATTAATCTAAAATTAAGACTACAATGTATATGTGCAAACCAATGCAGCGCACGTTGGCACAAGAGTTCTAATCATGTCTGTCAAAGTTGTTTTGATCAATATCATTATGGAAGATGCTCAACGCTGACTATGATCAGTATCAGAGAGTTGCTTCATTACATAGATCTACCTCTGTAATTTATAATTCTTTGTATAGACAGTTGACATTTTGATCGCATCAAATAACATTGTATGTGATCCTGTTAATAAAACAATGTGTGGGTAACATTGTCACAGCAGTTCGTGAGCTAGTACTGATCAGTGAGTCACATTTGTTGTCAGATAGTCGCATGATGGTTTGTATTAACGTAAACATGACGTCACAGTGCGACGCCTTATATGCTGTGCTGGAAAATTTCATTTGATTTCATTCCATATATCAAATCAACTGACATTTGCTGGATGGTATTAAAGAATATCCTCCGCAAATGTAGACCAATTTGAACTCATATCAAGCCTTTACTCAATGTGGTAACATAGTTATAATTTATACGAATAAGTGACATGACATATTTCCAGTCAAATCAATTCACATGACAGATCACCACTTCATATTCATAAAGGACATTAATATTGCTGCATCCAACAATTGCACATACACTGTATTGTTTTGTTTTGTTAAATATTGTTTTCACTTATTCAAATGACTGTGGTTTGTCTGTGGTCAAATTTTTATTATCCAGTATGCAATGTGTGCTCTAATAAAACAAATATGGTGTATTCACAAACAAATTAAGAATGTTCCAAGGACGCGATTATTGTTGTCTTAATTCACAGTCCATAAATAGTTATTCATATATTCTTACTGTGTTTCACAGACTTTTTAATGTACAATGCTGTAAAACTAGCCTTTATACCAGATTACTGGTCAGTGGGGTGACCATGATTGATACAGCATGCCGCTAATCTGAAAATGCTAATATCCCATACAATGGATGACAGTTTTCTCCATGCACTATATCAGCTGATAGCACATAGTCCCATTCTTCATGGCGTTGCAATACATTTACATAGTAAATGATCAAAAACTTAGCAGCAAATTCAGATTTAGATGGAGAGGGGTAACAGACGAAACAGAAGTTAGCTGTTCTGATTCATAGAAAAAATTACTAATATTTTCATTGTTGTTCAGGTGATGATTTGCATGTATCTTTGTCATCAGTGCTTTAACATTGGGATGCTAGTATAGTTTTTTTCTAAATGTTCATTTAATGTGGTTTAGTGAATATACATTGAGATGTGCAATATTTTTATTATTATTTGAAGACAGTATGTATATTTGGTGAAGTAAAGTGAAAAATGTAATCCTGGCCTTTTTATTTTGTTTTAGGAATCTAAGTCGTGCTTCCACCCAACTCATTCAACCAGTAGAGTGACTGTTGCCACCTACCACCTACCAATAAATATTTCAGAAATTCACAACTTGTGGTAATATGTATGCAAATGAAGGCTCTTTTGAATAATTTGTCAAGTCAGAGCTTCACAAAATGTAATTTTGAAACTGGTCGTTGGCTTCTACTGAAACAGGTTGTCAGCTGCCACTGAGACTGGTCGTTGACTGCCACTGAGACTGGTCGTTGACTGCCACTGAGACTGGTCGTTGACTGCCAATGAGACTGGTCGTTGGTTGCCACTGAGACTGGTCGTTGGCTGCCACTGAGACTGGTTGTCGGCTGCCACTTAGACTGGTTGTTGACTGCATATGAGACTGGTCGTCGGCTGCCACTGAGACTGGTCGTTGACTGCCACTGAGACAGGTTGTTGGCTGCCACTGGGACTGGTCATTGGCTACCACTGAGACTAGTCGTCCGCTGCCACTTAGACTGGTCGTTGACTGCCACTGAGACTAGTCGTTGACTGCCACTGACACTGGTCATTGGCTGCCACTGAGACTGGTCGTTGACTGCCACTGGTCGTCAGCTGCCACTGAGACAGGTCGTCGGCTGCCACTGGGACTAGTCATTGACTACCACTGAGACAGGTTGTTGGCTGCCACTGGGACTGGTCATTGGCTACTACTGAGACTAGTCGTCCGCTGCCACTTAGACTGGTCGTTGACTGCCACTAAGACTAGTCATTGACTGACACTGGTCGTTGACTGCCACTGACACTGGTCATTGGCTGCCACTGAGACTGGTCGTTGACTGCCACTGGTCGTCAGCTGTCACTGAGACAGGTCGTCGGCTGCCACTGGGACTAGTCATTGACTACCACTGAGACTGGTCGTCGGCTGACACTGAGACTGGTCGTTGACTGCCACTGAGACTGGTCGTTGACTGCCACTGACACTGGTCGTCGACTGCCACTGACACTGGTCGTCAGCTGCCACTGACACTGGTCGTCAGCTGCCACTGACACTGGTCGTCAGCTGCCACTGACACTGGTCATCAACTGCCACTGACACTGGTCATCGACTGCCACTGAGACTGGTCGTTGACTGCCACTGAGACTGGTCGTTGACTGCCACTGAGACTGGTCGTTGACTGCCACTGAGACTAGTCGTTGACAGCCACTGAGACTAATCATCGACTGCCACTGAGACTAGTCGTTGACTGCCACTGAGACTAGTCCTTGACTGCCACTGAGACTAGTCATCGACTGCCACTGACACTGGTCGTTGACAGCCACTGAGACTGGTCGTTGACTGCCACTGAGACTAGTCGTTGACTGCCACTGACACTGGTCGTTGACAGCCACTGAGACTGGTTGTTGACTGCCACTGAGACTGGTCGTTGACTGCCTCTGAGACTGGTCGTTGACTGCCACTGAGACTAGTCGTTGACAGCCACTGAGACTGGTTGTTGGCTGCCACTGACACTGGTCGTTGACAGC